GGATGACATCATGGAACTTGCAGAACAAAATTCTTTCATAATTAATGTAACTGGAGAATATAGCGATACTGATTAGTGATTTAAGTAATTTTGGGAAAATTTGTTTGCATTAAACTTAATTAAATTTAAAAAAAAAGAATTTTTACTCCACTGTACCTTTACCTTGTTGTTGCACTGATGACACACTATTTTCTTAACACGAACGAACTATAGTTTGCTTTCTCCATGATATAAAAATTGCGGTGGTCTTGTTCTTTAAGAAAGGCGACAATTCTCTCTTGAAGAACTACAGACCGATTTTCCTTCTGAGCCGCGTCTACGTGTTGTTTTCGAGAGTCATTACGAATCGTCTCGCACGCAGACTCGACGACTTCGAGCCTCCCGAACAAGCCAGTTTCCGAAAAGGCTTCAGTACCGTAGACCACATACATACCCTGCGGCAGATTGTACAGAAGACTGAAGAGTACAATCTGCCACTTTGCCTGGCGTATGTGCACTATGAGAAAGCCTTTGATTCCGCCGAAATTTGGGCGGTGCTACAGTCCCTTCAGCGGTGCCAAGTTGACTGTCGGTATATCGAAGTGCTGAAGTGTTTGTACAGTAGGGCTACGATGGCTATCCGAGTACAGAACCAGAGTTCGAAACCTATCCAACTGCAAAGAGGTGTAAGACAGGGTGACGTTATATCCCCGAAATTCTTCACCGCTGCGTTAGAAGACGTTTTTAAGCTACTGGACTGGAAAGGATACGGTATTAACATCAATGGCGAGTACATCACTCACCTTCGATTTGCCGCCGATATAGTCCTTATGGCAGAATCTCTGGAGGACCTTAGCACTATGCTCAATGACCTCAATAGTGTCTCCCAACGGATAGGTCTTAAGATGAACATGGACAAAACAAAGTCCATGTCACACCTATGCCGGTAGTTGTTGTGAGCACTATGTTCGAAGTTGTTGACGAGTACGTTTACCTGGGACAAATAGTCCGACTTGGTAAGTCCTACTTCGACCGAGAGGTCAATAGACGGATTCAGTCGGCTGGGCAGCGTTCGGGAAATTACGACACATCTTCTCGTCAGGTATACCTCAATCTCTGAAAACTAAAGTGTACAACCAGTGCGTGTTGCCAGTGATGACTTACGGATCTGAGACGTGGTCCTTCACTGCTGGCCGTATGAGAACGCTCAAGGTCGCTCAGCGACCTATGGAGAGGGCTATACTCGGAGTTTCTCTGCGTGATAGACTCAGAAATGAGGATATCCGCAGTAAAACCAGAGTGACCGATATAGCCCAACGGATTAGTAAGCTGAAGTGGCAATATGCCGGCCATATAGCTCGAAGAACCGATAACCGATGGGGAAGAAAGGTTCTCGAGTGGCAGCCTCGTACCGGTAGACGTAGTGTAGGGCGACCCCCCACTAGATGGAGTGACGACCTGGTAAGGCATGCAGGAAGTCGATGGATGCAGGTGGCTCAGGACCGTGCTTTGTGGCATTACTTGGGGGAGGCCTACGTTCAGCAGTGGAGTTGTGAAGGGCTGTAATGATGATGATGATGATGATTCCCATAAATAATTATATTCACGAGAGACACGGCTGTATAGACTACATGCCTTTACCATTTTATAGATAACTATTTGCAAAACGACGAACGATCGCCGTAGAAAATAGTGTCCCAGAAATATGGACACCATAAGTGAGGCGCTGTGATCGCTAAGTTCGGTCAATAAAAGTCATTTTCAGTCTATCTTTCCGATTAGATGCTAAACCACTTACACTTCCACGCACAGTAAAATATTTCTCCATTTTTTAATGTTTCTTTTTGTCAAAAATTACAAAATTACGGAGCATGAAAATTTTCTCATCAATATCGCGGAGAAAATTTGTACATTATTCAACTAACTTCATCTACTTGTACTCATAAACAGCTAACTTCGCAGTCACTACTCACCGACTTCAGCGCCGCTATAAATTCTACAATTTTCAAGGACGGGCGGGCTATGCTTTAGTACGTAGTGATCGTTCTCCTGTTCTCTAATCTTCATGAAGATTCCTCTGTCTACGATCAAGACTATCCGCTCGGTGACAGCAACAACTCGGATACAGACTCGGATCAGTCGCTAGACCGAATGGCATATTGTATGAGGGAGAGCAGCATGTGTTGGTAAACGAATCAGAAACAAGACGACCGTTACTTTGGAAACTGGGAACCTATATTTTTAAAATTTTAAGATTCAAAATAAATAAATATTATTAATGTCATTAAGAATTATTTACATATATAAGGTAACGCCATATTTATATAAATTTGCCGTGGCAAACTTCTTTTTACAGCAAAAAATGAACAAAAGTCATATCGTTAGCTACCTCCACGGTTGGCTACCGTGGGTATCTTTGTTTCAGAGAGCACAAGTAATCTGTGACACAAAACATCTGACCGCCGAGCTTCAGCACGTAAAGCTAATAGCTAATAGCTTCGGGTCAGGCGCTTACGTCATATTTATACCCTATGTTTTGTTCATGTAACATTTTTCAGCAAAAATTCTGTGCCACACAGAAATTTTTCTAGAGTATTATACCATTTTAGAATCTTGGTTAGTTGCGTCAATTTATAAAAAAAATTTGCCATAGTAGTGTCAGTACTTTTTTTTTACACCATGATGAGTGAAAGTGGACTGAAAGTAAAAATCTTTCAAAATTTTAGGGGAAAAATAAATTTGATTGATTTTTGTGTAAAAACTACATGTATTCTGGGATTTATAAGGGTTTTGGTAGATAGCAGTACTACTAAGGTTACCGATACAAAAAAAAATTACAAATGTGGTCATGGTAGTTAAAAATACCATATTGGGGCATCGATTTTCGAAGAATTTCATTTTTTTGTAATTTGAAAAACGATTTAGATTTTATTTTTTCTCGAGTAGTCATGAGCAGGTCCAGGTGCAGTGCAGGAGCAGGTGCCCGTTTAATGTTGCATTTTGAGACACGTTGTACATATATATATATATACGAATGTTAACGAGTCAAAGCATTCAGCATGACAATACGAGCATATTGTGTAGTCTCATATCATACAAACTATGCTGTCAGGTCTAGGGTCAACCCGCACTCCACACTTTTATACCGGATAGTGCTATGCTGCAGCAATATAGTTGTAGCACGAAAGGGTCGAATCGACTGGACAGGACCACTATCTCACATAACACTAGCGTAAAATAGCAGCTTAATACTGCTGTGTTTCGTATGCTGAGTGTAGAGATCCGGATATCCTTTTTTAGCCCTTAGGGGTATGTCAACGCATCTGCATTTTGATTCTTAATCTAAAGGATAGATGTAGACGTCTATGGGCTTCAGCATCCACTTATCATCAGGTGGACTGTGTGCTCGTTTGTCACCCTTATTCTATAAAAAAACATGTTCCGTGGCTTACTTTGTGATCCCCTTCTTTATAGCTGTTGAATTGAACTACTTAACAAATGTAATACCTCAGGTTGAGTCATCGAGGTGATTTTTTAAAATCACAGGTTTTAGATTTTGCATTTGATGGGAAATCTTTATTTTTTATTTTTGATTTGTCTTTGATGGCTTCCATGGAGTTTAGTTTATACGTAGATGTAGTTTTGTTTTTAATATAAAATTTTGTGGTTGCCTTAAAATTGAAGGTTTCGTGGCGCAGTGGCTTAGCAAGGAGTTATAGCGCTAAGGGCCGCGGGTTCGAATCCCGCACGTAACAAGTATTTGTATGGCCTACAAGTAATTTTTCCGGGTTTGGATGTTTGTCCTTGTGAAATTTATGTTTGTAAACTGCATCCGCGATACATGAGAAAATCCTAATAACGTTTTAAAAGAAAAAATTATTGGTATAAAAAGAAAATCATATTCATTTTCCAATATTTTATTATACATGAATTAAGAGTACATTTTTAAATTACTATTTATGGAATCACATGGTGACTGCCGGGATTCAATCGAGATGACCTGAAAATAAGACAAAATCGTTAGTTAATTATGTCGTTCTAATTTTAAATATTTTGTTTACAACAAATAAAATAGATTCAAGTATTTACTGCAGTATCGTTGTAAGAAATTTAAACTTTTAGACAGTTATATTACAGAGTCAAATCTATAAACCAGGCTTCCAGTGTAGCAGAGTACACAATGTAGTACATTATATATTCATTCATTCCGGTCCACTGAAACAAAAGTTCACAACCAAACTATTTAACGATATTTACCATAGTCGCCACGCTAGGTAGCCGCAGTTTTTTTTTCATTACAGCTCATCTACTATTTAATTTTCCTGTTCCTGTGTCACCTCTTACGACACCCAGGGGAGGGTATGGGGTAATTGATTCTTTAACGCTATCACTATACGGACTGTTAGATATTGCAACATATATCGTATGTAATCTAGTGCATTGTAGCGCAGTTTATTAAAGTGTAGTGTAGAACACAATCATCTCACTGGAGTGTGAGTAGTGCAGTGCGTAGCGATCACCTGCACTAGAGTGTGAGCAGGTCAGGCGCGGCGCGGGACAGCAGCGAGGCGGCACCGGCTACTGCGGTGCACCGGGCGTCGTGTGTAGTGTAGTGCACAGTGTAGTGTAGTGAGCGGAGATCACCTGCACTAGAGTGTGAGCAGGTCAGGCGCGGCGCGGGACAGCAGCGAGGCGGCACCGGCCACTGCGGTGCACCGGGCGTCGTGTGTAGTGTAGTGCACAGTGTAGTGTAGTGAGCGGAGATCACCTGCACTAGAGTGTGAGCAGGTCAGGCGCGGCGCGGGACAGCAGCGAGGCGGCACCGGCCACTGCGGTGCACCGGGCGTCGTGTGTAGTGTAGTGCACAGTGTAGTGTAGTGAGCGGAGATCACCTGCACTAGAGTGTGAGCAGGTCAGGCGCGGCGCGGGACAGCAGCGAGGCGGCACCGGCCACTGCGGTGCACCGGGCGTCGTGTGTAGTGTAGTGCACAGTGTAGTGTAGTGAGCGGAGATCACCTGCACTAGAGTGTGAGCAGGTCAGGCGCGGCGCGGGACAGCAGCGAGGCGGCACCGGCTACTGCGGTGCACCAGGTGTCGAGGCGGCGCGCGAGAGCAGCGGCACCAGCTCGGTTTAGTGCACGTGGTCGCACCCACTTCACGCTCACGCACTCGCTCACCTTTATAAAAAGCACATTTATACACTTATAAACTGAACGAGAATATTTGGATATAAAGTCAGTACGCATAAGTGGCAATGGGCCATCCATATTTTTTCAAAATACTAGTAACACAATTTACATTACTAAGTTAAATGATTGAAGAACCAAACATTTTGGAATAGTCCAAAAATGTAAGAATGGTTACGCCGCGCTCAAATCGGCGCACTAGCGCCATCTAGTCTCGAACCGAAGAACTAAACTTCTTGAAGTTTAAAACTCGAACTCTCGGTACCTTGCGCGTGTTTACTTGAACATTCTGGATATTTTGCTAATTTATATAACTAGGCGCTGCAAGATGCGATGGGAGCAGAGTTGAACTCGGCGACACAAGCGAAGCTTCGGAGCGGAATTAAGTGAATTAGTGTGTTTAATTATTAGTGTTTTTAGTTTTCATTTGTGTAAAGTAAATTAAAGTGTTAATTTAGGTAATTTTATCGGCAATTTTTATTGTCACGAACCTCAAGCTCGTAACAATTGGTGTCAGAAGTGGGATAAAATAATGCCGATTTTACCTAAGGAGGAAACGGAGGGTGTCCGTACCCGAAGTCAACGCCAGCAGGAGACGGACCAACGAAGATTTGGTGGGGCAACGCCGCAGACGTCGGAGGGCCAGCCACCGGCTGCAGGCCCGTCGGTAGCTCCTACATCTGCAGTACCCGACTTAGGTGCTCTGATGGTGATGCTGCAGGAGCAGGCTCGCCGACAGGAGGAACAGGTCCGTCAGTTGAAAGAGCAGCTGCAGAGCGGACAAGAGGAACAGGCCCGTCAGCAGGCGGAACAGGCTCGTCGGTCGGAAGAGCAGATGCTCCTCATGAAGGACCTTCACGCTACCTTTGGGAAAGAGATAAGGGACGTGAAGGATAGGGTTGCTCAACACGACAACCGCCTATCGGAAGCTGAAACCCGAATCGAAGAACATGAAACCCGAATCAACCATGTGAACAATCGGGTTGACAACGTGATGGCTGACGTGAAGAAAACGCTAAACGACCTCAAACTTGCGGATGGAACTACAGCTCCCGTAGTAGCTGCAGCACCTTCGCTACGTGGATTCAAAGTGCCGCCGTTCGACGGGACCTCTTCCTGGTCGGCCTACAAAATCCAGTTCGAGGCCGTCATGGAGGCGAACGGCTGGAATAAAAGCCAAGCCATGACTGCACTCACCCTAGGCCTGCGCGACCAAGCCTTAACTGTGTTGGAAGCTCTCGGTAAGAAAGTGACCTATGAGCAGCTTCTTGAGGCCTTGGAAGCGAGATATGGCGACGCTCATCTGGAACACGTCTTTCGCGCGCAGCTTAAAGATCGCGTGCAGCGCAGCAACGAGAACCTGCAGCAGTGGGCCCTTGAGGTAGAGAAGATGGTTCGAAAAGCATACCAGTCTGTACCTGCGCTCATTGAAGGGAACCTGGTTCAGACATTCATCGACGGCATCCGCGACCTTGAAGTCAGAGCTGCTGTGAGACTCGGGCATCACGACACGCTTAAGAACGCCTTGGCCCATGCACTGGAGGTGGAAGCCGTGCGGCAGGATCATCGTTCCCATCGCATCAGGGAGGTTGCAGCAGCTACAGTTCGCGACTGCAACAGAGGACACAGCCCTAGGTGCTATGGCTGTGGGGAAAAGGGCCATCTTCGATCCAGCTGCCCTAAGCGAACCCTAGAAAGGGAAGGTGAATGATCCCAGGAGGGTAGTGCGGCCAACAGCACCGCCCAGCAGCAGCAGGGAAACGAGTAAAAGCCAGAACTGCGGGGCGGGTGCTGGCTGATGTTAAAAGAGCCCCAAGGATCTCGATCTCACAAACCCATGATGGGAACAGTCTAATCATCAAGGGCGAGGTCAACGGAATGCCGTGTAAACTGACCATAGACGCTGGAGCCTCTCGTACGGTTGTTAGTTCCCAACTTATAAGTCAGTTCCTTGGGGATTCCGCATACAACCGAGAACGCATTAATTTGGTAACAGCTACCGGTCAGCGTATACCCGTCCGTGGAGAGAAGGAGATGGAGTTGAAGCTAGGCAACGTGATCTACCTGCATAATGTCATCGTGGCTGATATAATGGACGACTGCATCCTAGGCCTAGACTTTATGAGGAATAATTGTTGTGAGATCGACGTTAAGCAAGGTGTTTTGAAATGTGGACAGGAGGAACTTTTTATGGAAGGTGCGTTACCAGGGAACGTGTACAGCATTAAGAAGACTGTTCTTCCGCCGAGATCGGAAACGATTGTTCCGGTTAGTCTTCCTCGAAACGCTGGGCAAGCTCACCGTTGTGTACTTGTGGAAAGGGTGAACAATGAACTTCCATGGAAAGTAGCTCGAGCCTTGGTTAGGACCACTGACATCTCAGGAGTACGTGTGCTGAACCTTTGCGACCGGGAACAGATTATAGAAAAAGGCACACTGATTGGTACTTGTGAGGAAGTGGATTGGTTACGTCGGTGCGAATATATATCGAGTGGGACCCCCAGCAAGGATGCAGAAACGAGAGTGACCACACTTTTGGAAGACTGTCGCAGTGTTCTCTCCCCGAACGAATTGGTCAAGGCGAAGAAGTTGTTACTCAAGTACGCCGATGTATTCTCATCAAACGATGCTGACATAGGAAAGACTGGCTTAGTTCAACACAAAATAAACACAGGAGAAGAATTGCCTATCCGTCAGCGGCCAAGAAGATTGCCGGTAGCACGTGAAAAGGAAGTGGAAACCATGATTGAAGGAATGGTGAAGGATGGTGTTATTGAACCTTCCTCTAGTCCATGGTGTTCACCAGTGGTGCTGGTGAAGAAGAAGGATGGCAGCATGCGGTTTTGTGTTGACTACCGCCGTCTGAACGACGTTACGAAGAAGGACAGCTATCCCTTGCCAAGAATTGATGACACGCTGGACATGCTTACAGGAGTAAAGTGGTTTAGCACGCTGGATCTGAAAAGTGGCTACTGGCAAGTTGAAATTGACCCTAAGGACAAGGAGAAAACTGCGTTCTCGACGGGAAAGGGTCTGTGGCAATTTAAAGGAATGCCGTTTGGGTTGTGCAATGCTCCAGCAACGTTTGAAAGGCTGATGGAACTTGTACTTACCGGGCTAATTGGCGATGCCTGTCTGGTCTACTTGGATGACATCATCATCGTAGGCCGTACGTTTGAGGAACACCTTCAAAACCTGGAACGCGTGCTCATGAAGATTCAGAGTGCCAACCTCAAGTTGAGCCCGAAGAAATGTTCACTATTCCAACGGCAAGTTAACTTTTTGGGGTTCGTAGTATCGGAAGAAGGTATCCGCACAGATCCAGAGAAAATCGCCGCTGTCAAGGATTGGCCGGTTCCAAAAGACAAGACGCAGGTTAGAGCATTTTTGGGTTTGTGCTCCTATTACCGGCGATTTGTGAAGAACTTTGCGGATATAGCCAAACCTCTGCACAAGCTAACCGAGGAGAAGCGACATTTCTGCTGGGATGAAAGTTGCAATATCGCATTCCAGGAGCTCAAGGACCGTCTGTGCAAAACACCTATTTTGGGATACCCTGATGCAAGCAAAGAATTTATAGTTGACACAGACGCAAGTGATATAGGACTTGGCGGTGTGTTGTCTCAACGGAATGGTGACCAAAAGGTCGTGATAGCCTACTTCAGCAAGTCGTTGTCAAAACCGGAAAGGAACTACTGTGTCACAAGACGCGAATTGCTAGCTGTGGTAAAGTCGTTGCAGCATTTTAGCAAATATCTTCTGGGGCGAAAATTTCATTTACGAACTGACCATGCCGCACTAAAATGGCTATTGCAGTTTAAAAATCGAGAAGGACAAGTTGCGAGGTGGATTGAACTACTGCAGGAATACGACTTTGAGATCGAACATCGCAATGGGAAATCTCATGGCAACGCAGATGCATTGTCAAGAAGACCTTGTCCTGAAGATTGCAAACATTGTACTAGGCAAGAGAGTAAGGAAGTGGTATCCGTGAGGATGCTCAGGGCAGACCACCTCAGCAACGAGTGGAAGGACAGCTTACAACGTGCACAGCAGGAAGATCCGGACATCAAGCCGATCCTGGAATGGATGAAGGCCAGTGCTCCCAAGCCCAAGTGGAGCGACGTCTCAGCGATGAGTTCGACCACTAAAAGCTATTGGGCCCAGTGGGACAGCTTGCTGCTTCAGGATGGAGTTCTGTGCCGTAAATGGGAAAATGTTCGGGGAGACAGCTGTCATTTACAAATGGTTGTCCCTAAAGCTAAAGTACCGGATGTTCTACAGCTGTACCATAATGATTATTCAGGAGGCCATCTGGGAGTTAAACGAACTCTACTGAAGATCCGAGAACGGTTTTACTGGGTCCACTGTCGAAACGATGTCGAGGACTGGTGTCGCAAATGTACAAGTTGTGCGGCTGTAAAGGGACCTCAGACTCGTAGTAGAGGTGCATTGAAGTTGTACAATGTTGGTGCACCATGGGAGAGAATAGCCATTGACGTGGCGGGGCCGTTTCCGGAGAGTGAAAGCGGTTACAAGTATTTCATGGTTGTGATGGATTACTTCACTAAGTGGCCAGAAGTCTTCGCCATTCCAAATCAAGAAGCTTCAACAGTTGCTGATAAGCTAGTTCATGAAGTCTTCTGTCGTTTTGGTGTACCTTTAGAGATTCACAGCGATCAAGGAAGGAATTTTGAGTCTCAAATATTCCAGGAAACTTGCCGAGTTATGGGTACTCATAAAACAAGAACGACTTCTTATCACCCGCAATCTGATGGAATGGTGGAACGATTTAATCAGACATTGGAGAGGTACCTAGCAAAAGTTGTAGACAATCGGCAACGAGATTGGGACAAGCACATACAACCGTTTTTGTTGTCATATCGAAGCGCTGTTCACGAAAGTACAGCAGTGACACCAGCTTTCGCAAACTTTGGAAGAGAATTACGGCTGCCTGCAGACCTGATCACCGGGATACCACCTGATACTCC